GTTTGCTGCAGCCAGGGCCTGCGACCCCCTGACCGTAACAGAAAGACGGAGGGCGTCCCCTGGGTGGGCGTCCCTGTCGCGCTCGCTGCACTTCGTACGTCTCGCTTTCGAATCGTGGTGACTGGACTCGCTGTTCCTGAGCATCTCCTTGAAAGCGTGTGAACTCTGCTTTGTTCACGCCTGAAATCAGCACTTGAGAAAGAGCACTTAAACTGCCACTGTTCAGGAAGGGTTTGTTAGGAACCGACCTGTCCTTGTGTCGCTGGTGCCTGCCGCGGTGAGTAGCGTCTGTCAGTCGTGCGGTTCCTGAGTGATCGGATCGGTGTGCGTGCCAGTTGGTCCCAGGGTCGGGCTCTCTGGGAAAAGGACAGAGGAAGGCAGCTTAGACCTTGGACGGAAAGGGCCGCCCGGACCCAGGCGTCATGAAGACAACGGACGGGCGCAGCGGAGACGGGAGTCACGGTCAGGGTGCGGGACGGGGGCGTGTGCGGTTCCAGCAGCGCGGCAGCTCTGCCTGCCCGGGTCTCGTAGCTGATGCTCCAGATAAAGCGCCCCGGCGGTCGGGGCGGAAGCTGCAGGGGTTGGCATCTGAGGCTGCCGCTGCCAAGGTAGCCAGCTCCCCTGACCCCCCAGAGCACGGCCCACCGTGAAGCAAGTCCAGCCCGCACCTACGAAGTTAGGTGGGTTTTCAGTGCCTCACTTCTGAGCTCGAGTGGGCAGCCAGAGATCACCAGGCAGCTGAGAAAAGTCTCCCACATTCAGGACGGTCCAAGGGAGGGAGCACCCAGAAAGGAGACAAAGATAATACAGGCCTTTCAGAGGAGCTTCAGAAAAACCCAGGTACTGTCAGCCAGGACAGAGGCAGGTGCTTTTGCACCCGCAAAACAAGAACTGTGTTCTGTGAAAAGAGCAACCAGAGCATAAAAGTCCTCAACAGTTTCAAGCATCGTGGAGCCGGAAACTCCCTCCGAGGACTGGAAACCGACTGAGCCGAGCACCCACAGGGTTGAGGGCGACGGCGGCGAAAAGGGCAGGAGATGTGAAAGACAAGTTGTAGGTGGTCGATCCAGGAGCTTCCGTGTGTTGCCGTTTAGAGAACAGATGTTTTCAAGAAAACAGAATGGGAAGAACTGTCTGTGCTGGAAGCACCAGCCAAACGCTGGGCACAGATAATGGAGCAGAGAGGCACCCGCACACCCGCGGACTCGTCAGGAAACTTCGGCGATCCAGGGTTGAAGGGGGACTTCGGAAAAATCACCGGAAACGGCCCCAGAAGCACGGCGATGCCGGACTTCTCCTGCGTAGGCGCGGGGGCGCGGTGCCTTCGGAGATGGTCCCCAGCCTGCAGGTCCATATTCGGCCAGGTCATCGGGGGAACAGAGGTGGCCTAGCACAGTTCTTGGACTGCATGGTGTAGGAAAGTCCAGGCGTCACCCTCCCACGAGTGTCTTCCTGGAAAAGACACCTGAAGAGGCTTTGCTGCCAGTCGGGAGTGTAACTGGGGAAGGGAGACGAGGGCAGTGGCAGGGCGACTGAGCTGGTAGTGCAGGTCGGCACTGGCGGGGAGTTGGCACGCGCAGGAGCTCGATCTGCAGGCTCCTCCTCGCCGCTGGAACGGTCCAGGTCGGCAGGGACGTACAGTGACGCAAAGAAGTTTCATTGAAGAATAATTGAACTGCAGTGAAAGAGTAACTGTTGGCTCCAAAAAGATACACAAATGTCCAAGAAGCATATGAAAAGATGTTCAACGCCATTAGGGACATGCAAATCGAAACCACAGTAAGTAGTTGAATGAATGAAAACGAAACAGAAGGGTGGGTGGCCGGGCGGGGCACAGCAGCAGCCGTGCGTGCAGTGAGGACAGTTTTGGTTCTGCAGGGCGAGAGGAGTCGCGGAGACTGTTTGTGCAGCTGTGTGGGCGCCACGGTCCTGCACGGTACGCCACAGAGGGTGAAGACAGTGAGTTTCACGTGTATTTTGCCACAAATAAAATTTCTTAGAAAATAAACCGAGGAGAGGGTCTATTAGAAACTAAAATTTCTTAGAAAATAAACTGAGCAGAGTGCAAGAGGAAAAGAAAAACCTTAGGAAGCACAGGAAGAAAAGAGCCACACGAGGAATGCAGTGTAGTCACAGTACGTCGCCTAGCTCTGCAGGGAATACTTACACATTCTTTGTAACGGCTGCATATAAATAAATGTTGTGACACTTACCTTATAAATAAATGCGTATGTATAAATGTAACATTTACATATAAATAAACAATGACATTTCTTGACGTGGCTGAAAGTTGAGATGGGGCGGGAGACAGAGTGCTGTAAGAACCAAACCCGTGTCCGCCGTCGTAGAGATGAGATCGCTGACGATTCAGGCCAGTAAGTCCAGGGACGGCAGCTCGAGCCCGAGCTCAGAGACGCGGAGGGCCGTGGCCCGTGAGCTCGGGGAGCGGAACTGAGGACGGGGGATGCAGGAGAGGGGGCGAGATGCTCCCGCGGCTCCGCTAAGAGGGCGGTCCGGGGGGAGTCTCCCGGAGGCTGTTCTGAGAGAGCCGGGGTGTCGTCGCGGGACCTCTGTGCCCAGGGCCTGTGGGCCCTCGAACAGGGAGCCTGTCTTGTCGCCACAAGGCTTTTTTTTTTTTAAGATACTATTTATTTTTAGAGAGGGGAAAAGAGGAAGAGAGAGAAACATCAGTATGTGTTGCCTCTTGTGCATCTCCGTCTGGGGACCTGACCTGCAACCCAGGCATGTGCCCTGACTGGGAATCGAACCGGCGACCCTTTGGTTCGCAGGCTGGTGCTCAATCCACTGAGCCACACCAGCCAGGGCTGTTCCATGGCGTTTATATTGTGTATGTTTTTTCTGGGAGCGCCTATTACTTTACTGAGTAAAAAGGTGATTGGATATTGTTTTTTTGTTTGTTTGTTTTGGTTATTCATGAAAAGTGGCAGAAACTGCACCCTGAGAGGTCGCAGGAGGGCAGGTGACTGCTGGTCGGGGCAGATGACAGCACAGGACGAAGCTGTGGAAGAGCACACGGCGCCTGTGCTCTGCCCCACGGGCGTGGACTCGGGCGGAAGGTGGACGGCGCCTCCCAGTCGTACGTGCTCTCTATTTGGAACATTTTGTTTCGCTGTTACGGTAAAACCTCAACAGCGCTGCTGGGGGAGTCGCTGGCTTGAGTTAATTTAATTTTCAGAGTAATAGAATTAAGCAAAAGTCATTTTTACTCCATCTATTGAATATCTTTTAATAAGATAGCTGTACTTGCCTACTTTATTAAGTTTACTGTTGGGAGGGAATTCAAGGCGTTTGTGCTGCGTGGAGGCGAAGAGAGGGCTGCAGGGGGTGGGGGCTGCCGCGCGCCCGGACCTTACGTGTCCGCTTTCCCGAGCCGTGTGCCTGTGGCTCGACGGCGAGACGCCACCTGCTCGCCGCCTCCTCACTCACAGGCTTGCTTGGCCCTCGTGACGACCTTGGCAGTGCAGGTTTCTTCGTGAACGCGTCCCTGGAAAGTATCGTCTATGAATCATAACTGTTTTCCAAACTCGATACATGAATGTATGGCCCTTCTTTAAACATAGTTTTTCTCAGCCTTGGCTGAGCACCGCAGGCATCTGGAAGCTTCTGGAAGCTTTAAAAATGGCTGATGCCTGAGTCCCACCCCAGAGGGCTCCCGGAGAGGGTGGCGGCTTCCCGGGCAGGTCTGGTGCGCAGCGAGCCTGAGACCCGCTGCTTCCCGGGAAGAGTGTCCCCTAAGCACGCCCCCATGTTGATTTAAGTTACTTTTCTTAAGATCGTGTTTAAGTGTGTACAGACTGGCCCTGGGTTGAAATATCCCGTGCGTGTCGTTGTGTATAAAACATGTTTGCAAGTTAAAAACAAACTGCACAATAGACAGATTCGAACTGAGCATCGATGGGCAGATAGCAGTGCCCGGGGGCTTCTGTGCGGGTGAGCCTGCTGCTTTGTCTGTGAACCCCCTCTGCCTGCGGCGTCCCCTGGGCCCATCCGGGAGCCGGGGACCGTGCGGTGGGACCGTGCGGTGGGATCACGTGGTGGGGCGAGCAGAGAAGATGTACTGTAGAGAAGACTGAGCCTGGCTGGAGGGCAGCTGTAGAACACCATGGTGCGGGGGCCGAGGGAGGGGACCCGCGGGAGGACTCAACTGGAAGAAGGCGTGGCTGCGGCCCACTGGGTGGCAGGGCAGCCCTGCATCTGCCCGGGCCAGAGCTGGTCTGCCCTTGCCGGGCAGCAGGAGGCATTCCCCGGAGCACAGCCGGCAGCCAGTGGCGCGGGCTCACAGGAGGTGGGGGCTCTGGTGGCAGCCCTCCCGCTGGCAAATGGCACCCGCATGGCGGAGCACTTGGGTGTGCAGAGGGAGTGGGGGTTTTCTTGCGGCAGGCACGGGGCACATGGTGTCCAGTTGGGGGAGCCATGTCGTGGGGAGGACTGGGGTGGGACAAGCAGCAAGAGGCCTTGGAGCACACAGTGTGTGTCTTGAAAGGGTCGCATCTCCAAAGAGTTGGGCTGGGCTGGGATGGGATGGAACCCAGGAATCTGTGGGTTTAGTAGGTGCCCCCATGATTCTGATGCCGGGGGTCCCAGAGACAACACTTAAGGGCGCCAGGGCCAGGGCTGGACGGTAGGGGCTGTGTGTTGCTCCTTCTGTGCCCTCATGGCCTGGGGAGAGGCCGGTGTTCACAGGGGGCTGGACGAGTGACCGGCTGAACCACTCCAGACGGCAGGCGCCTTGCAGCCGTGCCAGAGGCCCGTTCCAGTGGGGGACGAGTCCACGCCTAACACCTCTCCTCGAAGTGTCCGTGCCACACCGGCGACACTCCCAAGTGCCTCGCGACTCCCCGGAGACCCTCTGTGTTTGTTTTTTGGTTTAAGATGGACTCGTACTAATGGCACTTTCCTTTGTACTTAATAGGGAGAAAGAACAAGAAACACAAAAAGAGGAACATTTGATGGAAGAAAAGAAAAAGAAAAAGCAGGAAGAAAAGAAAAAGAAGGAAGGTGCTCAGAAAAAGGTTTGGCTAGAGTTACTCCTTGCTTGTCTTTATACTTGCGTGTCTCATTGGCATCACCGTGGCCATCCCATCGCAGGAGTTCATTTCATCACTTGGAAAGGTCAATGTGCTAAGTCTGTAGTTAGCAGAAAATAGATATTTTGCTGGTGAAACAAATACAGGGTGACAGCCACAAAATTTCTTTCTTAAGGACCTCGAAATACTAGAGCTGTGTTTTAAAGACGTTTGCTTCCGGTGGTTGGTGGCCGAGGGTGCTCACACTGTTCTCCGCTTCAGCGAACTGCCCGGAAATGAGAAGGGGGCCGTTCGGCTGAGGTTATTAGAAAGCGAGAAATAATTGTTGTAACTTTGGCAAATGTTCTTCTACAATTCCTGTTAGTAAATATTAAAAATTATACTTAACCTTATAGTCATGCTTGAATTTTCTGGCATTTAATATACCAAGTTATGCCATTTGTTTTTGCTCTCGCCTGGTTTAATGGACATTGTCGTTTAAACTGTGTACCTTCTAGACTTCATTAAAGTAAAGAGCTCATGTGAGCACCCAGATATACTTGTTTGCCTTTGGATCGATACCGGCATATAGTTAAAAGCATGTAGACAATTAGACATTATTCCCAGAAGTAGAATGGATTTTAATCAATGAACTGGGCAAAAACTTGTTTTTAAAATTTCCTATTAAAGTCTACTTATAAACTTTCATAGATGTGTACGCTCTACACATTATTCCTAAAGAGTTTCTAATTTTTTTTTCAGGCTGCTGATCAAAAAACCAAAGGTAAGTTTATTTTATTTGTGGGGGGCACATTTTATGGCAGTACCAAGCTTCTTTTGACAAAGATGACTTTTGCTTTAATTGATGGCTAAAAACGGAGGCTCTGACCCTGCCTCTGAATCCGCTCTTCATTGTTCACTGTGAAATTCCTCCTGTATCGCTGGCTCCCATCCGCGGCTCGGTGGTGTCGGTTTGACCTGGAGGCCTGGACAGCAGGGTGCTAGCTTTCCGCACAGCGAACAGCGCTCTGTGGTTCCCCCTGGGTAGTTTCCCCCGGCAAGGGGTCACCTGATAAATCGCTTCAGTTCGATTAAGAATAACCAAAGGACCCTGAATCCTTTCACAGCTCCTAATTTGTCTGTGCCAGCTGTTTATAACGAGACCTGTGTTCTTCGTGCGTTCCCTCTTTGCGTATTAATATGTAAGGTTTCTTTCATCCTGCAAGTCCAGAGCTTGCTTGTTGTTGTCCTAACGGGTGTCGGTGGGAACACACGTGAAGATCTGTCTCGGTCGCTCAGGCGTCCCGAGATCGCGTCTCCGCAACGAGCCACCTGGAAGCGCCACCCCAGCCTCTTCATTTTGTGCTTGACGGGGAGGGGCACTGGCTCCATTTCTTTAGGCCTCAGGCGTCTCCCGTGTCGAACAGGAGAGGTAATGGAGGAGCGGTGCCCCGCTCACGCAGCTGCCGTAAACACGGGAGGAGAGCTCTCGGGGAAAGGTGCGGCGCCGCGCATGCAGGCGGTGCTCAGTGGAGGGCGCTGCAGCCCGTTGTGTTATTTCTGAGCTTTCGTCTCGGGGGGGACCGTCGTTTGCACACAGTTGCATACGCAGGCAGGTGCGCTGCGGAGGCTTCCCTGACGTGCGGTCTCAGGCCGAACCCCTACCTGTGCTTGACTCTGGTGCGGCATTTTACAGTTTTCAGGGTGAGGTTTATGTTTCTTCCCTCCCTTGAACTTCATACTCGCAGGTGTCAGTTTACGTTGGAGGCACTGAGGCTGAGAGCGTGAGTTCCTTGGCTTGCTCTTGGCTGGGCAGTCAGTGTGAGGAGGGGTGTCGGGGGTGGCTCCTGGCCCCACTGGGGCCCCTGGCCCATCCGCCGGGGGCGGCGGGCCGCATCGAGAGGCGGCGTGCACAGAACGCAGGTCGCCGGAAAGGACACGAGGGCCTGTTCTGTGCCCTCGGAGCCGCGGGAGCTTATGTGACACTTCCCACGAGGGTCCAGAGGGCTGTGGTGTGGGGTTGCATTTGAGTTCATGATCTTGAATAAGAAACAATGGTTTCTTTTAATAGTTATTTAAAAGTGCAGAATTGTTTGAATCATCCATTTCTTTCTATTTTTTTTAACATTTTGAGAAGTTTTTACAACCTGATTCGGTACCAGCTGTACTCCATTGTCACTGTCAGTGGCGTTCTTTTCTCTTCAAACAGTGCCGGTTGCTGACGGTCCGTCGGTCCGTCGCCTTCCCCAGCTGCTGCTGTCTCTGCTGCTCCCGCTCCCTTCTCACTGCTGACCCCCCTCCGCGGGCCTCGCCCTCGCTCTCGCCCTTCGTCTTCCCTAAACTACTGCTCCTTTGGGTGCAGCCTGTCACCCTACTAGTTAGTAGCGACCCTACTAACTATAACTAGCATCAGAACAGACCATAGTTATTACTATTATAATAATGTCCTTCTAAACAAAAACAATGCTTTTTTGAATTGTAAATAATCTAGCTGAGCGGTTAGGTAATTCATTCATCTACGGTTTTCTCAGCCTGTCTGTTACTGCCGTTCACGTGAAAGTGAGCTGCCTGCGGCCGGTGGCCCGAGTCTCTGACTGAGTGCCTGTAGACCCCACACACAGGCCTGTGTGGACAGGAGCCGCTCGGCAGGGGGTGGGGCTACCCCCGTCTCATGAGCCCCAGCTCCTAGCGCCCCGCTCAGTCGGTAGGCTGGTCGGCGCCTTCATGCCAGTCTTCACAGAGTGTTAATTATACTTGAAAAGTTTTTAGTTTCTGCAGTAACCGTTGAACTCGAACAGTGAATCTTCTTTTAAAAGATGAATGCAGAACAAATCTCAGTAGATACTTCTTTTGTGATGAGTTCATTCTAATACAGTGTGCTTCCCGCTCCCACCCTGGAATCTTACAGTTTCATCCCTGATTGTGTTTCAAACCCCAAAGCGCGGTTCCTTTGGAGAGGCCCTTTTCCTCCAGTCACGAGATTCAGGCCAGCTGAGCCAGTGTGTCGGAGGCACCGCATGGCCCCCATCTGCCCCCAGCGCCCCACCCTGGTGGCCCGGGGCAGGCCTGTTTCCCCAGTGCAGACACTCCGACTCTGCTCCGGGCGGCCCCCCACCCATGGCTCTCCCTGGGCCTCTGCCTGGGCTGCCCTCCCTGTGTCCCGCCGGGCATGCGAGTCCAGAGGAGGGATGAGGGCCTGTGCTTGTGGGGTCCTTGCTCAGTCAACTTGCCTTTTCCCCAGTGATGAAAGACATGGGAACACAGTCTCGATGGAAATCACGGGCACTGCCTAAAATGAAGGGCAGGCCACTCCAGATCCTTTCTTCCCGAGATGCTGCCCAACCGCCCGCCGTCGCACACCCGCGGAGGAATCTCTTCGTGAGCGCACACGCGCACTCGCAGAGCTGCTTCCCGCAGCTGACGCTCCCGTCGGGGACCGCACTGAGCCGCTGGGGAGCAGGTTCGCACAGCAGGTGGTCCCTTGTGAGCCCCAAACAGTGTCTTTGCCCGGTGACTGAAGGCAGGGCCAGCTGCTCACACTCGCCCGGGACTCCTTTGTGAGACCCTGGCGCTCTCGTACGGGGGGCGGGGCCGCACACCACTGTTGGCTCCCGAGCTGCGGCTCGGCAGGGCGCCCCTCGGGTCGGTTGCGCTGCGGTCCCCAGTGTTGTTCTCCATTTGGGAGGGACGCCACCCTGAATTTGGTCACAGACAGTAGCTTTACATGCGATGTGGTGGCTCTGTGAGCCTCAGTTTTCCATGTTGTCTTCTGGGTTTCAAACGGATTATATGAAGTGAGCTGAATTTGGTGGTTTTTAGCCATATTTTCTGAATCTCATAAAATAGATAAGTTTTCATATAAAAAGCTCAAAGTAAATTATTTTATGTGTGAAAGTATGTTAATGACCCAGTATGGCTTCAGGTCCATGTAATCAATGGTTTGTGATTTTAGGGCAGCCCTGCACTTTTATGAATTCATACATTTTAACTAGTTGCCTAACCCTGCTGGAAAGAACTACAGATTTTTTCAATCAAGTATTCAACTTTGCCACGCGTTCACTTTGCCACTGTTAATCTTCAGAAAACCTCTGCATGCTTTTGTTGGTGCAAACCAACAGAAACCACGTTCTTCCGGAGGCCTGGCGGTGAGCGGCGAGGCCCAGGGCGGCCTCCTGTGAAGGCTCGTTCGCTCTGCACTTACCTTTCCCGGAGCTTCCCCTCGCCGGGAGCGAGGCATGGTGACGTGGGCTTAAAGCAGGGCCCCCCCCGCTTCGCAGTCAGAGGTGGGCGTGGATCTGCACCCATGCACTTCGCCGGGGAGGTGGCGCGTCCGTGGAGCCGAGCGGGGGGCCTCCCCTGTGCAGGGGTCTCTCGGGGTCTCCGCGCAACACGCAGCGAATAGTATTTGTGGAGCAGCAGACCCGTGTTTCCCTGAGTGACGCTGTGCGTGAAAACTGGCCGGATTCCCTGAATTTACAAGTGTGCATGTTCGTGTGAAGCAAATTACTATTTTGAGTGTGCGACTTACTCTTAAAGGCAATAACTGAAAGTCTAGTCAGTGTGCTCAGCACAGTGTGTTTTATAAAACATGGCATCTTACTTGCCTGTCTATAAAATTAATAAAATCTTAGCGCTTGAAGGGTCCTTAGAGGTCATCCAGTTCCTGTGTTGGATGGGAAATGAGACTCAGAGGTTAAGTGACTTGTATAAGTTTTGACAGCTAGTTTGTCCGAACTAGAACGAGAACCCTTATCTTCTGGTTGTCAATTATATATTTTTTTCTGCCATCATTCTAAGAAGTAATTTAGGATCTTTTCAAACACGGCTGAAAGAAATTCCTGAGTCAGATTACGTGCGAGACCTCTGTGGGATGGCATCTCATTGGGAGGGATCTCCGGTGCTGGGTCTGTCTTGAGCCGTGCTGCTCCGTGTGCAGCGCAGTCACGCACCGCACAAGAGCGGTCCGGTCCGAGACGCACCGCGTGCATGACAGTGGGCCCACAAGGTTCCAGTGGAGCTGGAACGTTCTGTTGCCTCGTGCAGTAGCCGTCAGAAGGTCGCAGCGCACACATGGCTCCCTCCCTGTCCCTGGTGGTGCTGGTGTGGACACACCCCCTGCACTGCCTGGCGCACGAAAGCGCAGCATGCGCAGTCTCGCGCAGTCTCGCGCAGTGCGTGATGCTTGATCCCGATCACTCACCACTGCACTTTCAGTCGTTGTTTTAGAACGTATGCTTTCTGCTTAAAATAAAAAGCTTGTTATAAAGTTGTGGCCCTAGTATGCTGGCAGCAGCCTGTCAACCAAGCATAAATGAGTCAAGAGGCTTTGCTAGAATTAAGTGACAAGTTTTATTTGAGGGTCTCAGGCGCACCGCAGTCCCGGAGAGTTTCCACGGTACAGAGCACGTTCTTGAGAAGAGTCGATGCCGCGCTCTCAGCTTGCGGAGCGGCGGCCCCTGACGGAGAGCGCTCTCCCAGGTGCCCCGTGGTCTGTGTGCTGCACGCCCCTCCGCAGTGCCTCAGGGGGGTCTCCCGGGTTTCTGTGACTCCCGGTGCTGACGCACAGCTGAGAGCTTCAGGTGCATGGGTCTAATTCTAAGCCAGTCGAACTAAGGTAAAGTTAACTGCTCCCATTTCAGCCCATTCTGATTTCAGTAGTTGTGCTGGCCTGACTGCAGTTGACTCCATTTTGTTTCCTCACTCTTTCCTTGAGCCTCACGCGTCTCCTGTTCACTGCGTCTCCTGACGGCATCGTTTCCTCCTGTGCTCGATGCACCGTGTTCT